CTAGAATGGCACTCAGTAGAGCTCATACCTCCCCCAACAGTCCACCAACAGTCCCCTTACCACATTTAAATTCACTATATCCAGATTTTAATTTTGATCTGCACCAAATGGAACACACTCATAAATATCAGTCCCCTAAACATGTCGGATTCTTTTCATCGTGGTCCATGACTTAATATCTAGGAGATCAACAAAAATATTATGACACAATGTTACAGAAAGAGAAAAGAAAAAATCCTGGATCCGGCCCCTGATCGGGATCTGCACCAAAATTTGGCACAAATTGTCATGAAAATTGAGTAGTTTTTGCGAAACCCTGCTAATTATCCAACTGACAAACAGACGGAAAACTAATGATATACAACTGTATATGGAATCTGAGGGCTGGGGTTATGTTTTATTACAATAGTGAATGATCCTGTTTTAAATCAATTATGTTTTATCAATAGGTTTTTTTCTCTTGTTATTGTGATTTAGGATCTATGATATATTTTACTTTCACAGTTCATTTGTGGCGTTACAGAGGAGGATACCCAGCTCTGACAGAGGTGATGAACAAGCTCAGGCAGAACAAGGTAAAGTCTCCTGCACTTCGCTTGTTTGTGTCACACTTGTGTAATTCTGTAGTCATATAGACAGGATTGGAAGTAAAGCTCATTGATTGGTGTCCGTCCACTGGCAGGAGTTCACAGCGTACAGGAAGGAGCGGGGTAAGATGCTGTTGTCTCGCAGGAACCAGCTCCTGCTGGAGTTCAGCTTCTGGAATGAGCCTGTACCCCGAGAGGGCCCCAACATCTATGAGCTCAGGTCGTACCAGCTCAGGGTGAGTGTTATAGCCGGGCTTTATCTTATCTTTGGCAGGGTTGCTTATGACAACGACAGATATATGAGCCAAGTCGTGTGTAATGTCTGACTTGGTACATTCCTTTGTTTTGAAGTCAAGAAATATCCGCTCACCAGCTGATGGTCCCACAAACTTTTGAATTATGCCCCAGGTAAAGTTTGGGGTATTTGTCTGAAGAAGAGCCTGTGCTCGTAAACGTCTCAGTCTTAGTTTGTGGGTGCATTTAGTACTAAGCTAGTTTGGATGTTCGTGCTTTCGTATACTTTCTGATAAATCCAAACACTTATTAAACTTAACAATAAAGAAGTATAAGTTCTTACATCTATATGAGTATTCCAGTTTTATTCATGTAAGCCAAAAATCACATCAAATTTGCCTTTTAACAACAAACAAAACCTTCTGTCTTCTATACTCCACTGCTGGTTCACATATTTCTCTCGCTTCTGAGCAGATCCTCTGCACAGGATGGGGCCTCAAGGCTAAAGGTCACCTGCCCAGCGGTTGTTGCAGAATAGGAGAACATTACTCTTTCATTTACCTCGCTCACATTTTCCCACTTAAAAACTGAAGCCTTCCCAGGTCGCATGTTTAACTGTTGAGACTCTCTACATTACCTCCACCCTCACAGACATACTGTCTGACAAGGAATGACCCTGTGTCTTCAGCAGTTACAAGACATCTGCTATTTTCAACTGGGTCACTTGAGAATTTATTTAAACAATTTATATCATCTCCTGTCCTTGGTTGGACTTGGTAATCCAGCGGCACATGATTCTTACTCGTGCACACTGCATGATACACACTCCTCCAGCTGCAGATTAAGTCGTTCTTTCTAATCCGAAAGACAAAACTGTGTAGATCAGCGCTCCCTGTGACATGTGATGAGTAAGCTATTATCCCTCATTACGTACTGATAGTACATCACAGAAACAATGTTTGTTTTCTTAAGCACCAGAGAGTTATTGAAGAAGCCATTGGGTGTAATTGTTATTGCAGCTTATCTTCACAAAGACAAAAATACCTGGGTTATGAGTTTACCGTTCCTTTGTGTCATTACGTTTACTGTGGGAAGAAGACAAACGTTTGCAAAACCTTGAATTAGACATGTTGGTAATTGTAATGAAGAATACTGTTTTCTCCCCCTGCAGCCAGGAACCATGATCGAATGGGGTAATTACTGGTAAGTTAGCCTGGATTCATTTCATTCACTGAACTGTAGTTACAGAAGAGTTGCACCTCACGAAGCCCTCCTCATCACACTGTCGTTAATAAGATCTATTCCACAGAGAGGAACCTATTTAAAGCTGGAATGTCACGCTCTCTAACAAAGATTCAGTTGAAGCGTATTAATATATAGAACAGGGGTTACCAGCGGATATTAATCTGAGCTAGCTTGCAGAAAAAAGAACCTCTGTGGTCTTGTTGTAATGTGTCCGCCCCTAAATTAACCTGCTGCAGCCTGCTATGCAAAGCTGTGACTGAAATTAACATCATTTTATCTAAGATCCTGCATCTGTGTCTCACAACTCCCTAGTTTTGGATCCATTGATAGAGACGACCAGTGTATGTCCTAAATTGTTGTGTATAATGAGAGTGAAACTCCAGGTCTGACCGAGCCAACAGCTCAACAATCATCAGTTTGTGCAACACAGTTGATTGTTACTGATTAAAATGAATGTGAGCTCTGTGCACATGTCTTAGGTTACAATAGATTTTTTTCTGATAGCTCAGTAGTGGTCTGACCAGTTTCTTTAGGTGTAACCGACTGGTTACAGTTTTTGGCTGCTAGAACCACCTCTGAAGTTACTGGAGCGTGTATTGTGGTTATTGTACTGTAAAATCGTCTCCATCTTTTTCCAGTTAACCATCATGTGCATCTATTTATATGAAAACACATGTAAAGTGAAACCCTTGAATTATATCTAGAAGCTTTTGTGCTTTGAGGATTCATGTGTATCAACAGTCCCCTTATGAAGTCACGTCTAAATTCACTCCATCCTGATTTTTCACATTCTTTTCATCAAGATCCATGAATTATTCCCTGGGAGATGAGTGAATATGTTTAAAATCATCCTATCTCACAATCTTAAAGAACTGATAGACCATCAAATCTTCAACAAAATTTCATGGGTTCTTTCTTGGCCCAGGTCATCGGTGAAGTTTTCATGGTAATCGGCGTAGCATTTATTGTTTGTTATGCTGCTAACTAAGAGACAAAGTGAGTTATGGCAACACATCTTATGATAGGATGTATAATCACAGCTGTGGCATATAATTGTCGTCTGTCTTACGTTAACAAAACAAACTAAATCCACTTGTGTAAATTAAAAACAGTCCAGAGTAAATTTAGACACAATGTCCTGGTTTGAAGACCGGTCATGTATCTTATGTTTGGGGGCAGGTTGTGTTTTACCAGATGAAGCCTTGGTGTTTTTGGCCTGCGTCTTAACTGGAGTTGTTCTTGTCTGCAGGGCCCGGGCCATCGGATACCGCCAGCACAACAGCGAAGCTGTGGGAGGGTTTTTCTCTCAGATCGGGAACCTCTACATGGTTCATCACCTATGGGGTACGGTCAAACACCAGCTTTATTCAGAATAATAGTGTCAAGGATAAAAGTGACAATCCTAATGAGATGTCACCCTGTGTGTATATCTTAGTTCTGCTGCCACCCACTCTCCAGCAAAATCTGTTATATATTGTCAATGATTCATCTTTTAATCAAAAATTACAGTCACCAGATTAGGAAATAATGGAAATAATCACTATTTATAGCCATAAGTCTTGCAAAATAGCACATTGACTCTGTTTACTGTAAGAAAACGTGTTTTCATTTGTTGACCTCAGCTTACAAAGACCTTCAGTCCAGAGAAGACACCAGGAACTGTGCCTGGCAGCAGGAGGGCTGGGATGAGGTGGTGTATTACACAGGTGAGAGGAAATCAAATCCTGTTTCATACACAGAGAGGTGATGAAAACTTGTCGTAAACTTTATTTTAGGTGTGCAAGTTATTTGTCTAGAATAACAACATACTGAACTTTAGTCTCTGTTCGACCCTGCTGAACCTGATCAATATCCTATAGACTAAATCATTTGTGTTCCATCGTTCTCCAGTTCCGCTCATTCAGCACATGGACTCCAGGATTATGATCCCAACAAAGGCTTCCCCGCTGCAGTGAAACGGGCAGCGAGCTGGAAGCTGAAAACAAGTGGCACCCTTTCAATTGTCAACATCCATCCAGAGCTTCAATATCAAGGTTGTCACCTTCCTGTCGGTGCTGCCAGATAACGTCCCTTCCCTTTTACTTCAAGATGTCACCAGGTCAAAGGAGGCTACAATGCCTGCCCCGTATTTGGAAATTAGAAAAATGCCCAAACCATTTAACAGCACATGACAGCGCACAGCTTCTTTTCTTTCAGCTCTGGAGCAGAATAAGTAAATTGAATCAAACCTCCTGATGGTTATGTCCAACGTCTCGAGCCACATTAGAACTGGTCCACAAAGAGCTCATCTAAGTTTAGAACCAACCAAAGTTACTTGAAGACGAGCAGCTGTCTGGTGTGGGAGAGCAGAGAGCTGCTGAAGCTCACTGCATGATGCAGTGGCCGTTTATTTATTTAATGTAAATTTGGAATTCTTATATTATCTATTAGTGTGCTGTGGAAGTGGCACTTCCATGTAAGCCATGCACTTGGGAGAAGTGGGAAAAAACCTCTGTTATTCCATGGAAATCATTTTATGGTTGAATGTGGTATATGATGTATAAAATGTAAAACTGAGGTCTATTATACATCAAACTCCTTTCAGTTGCTGGATGTTTCTAAGTTCTCCGTCATGGTTATATTGTTGTTTCATGGTGCTGTACTGTAACTATGGGTCCCACTTTTTTTTTCCTGAAATGACAGCATGCTGGTTTTAAAACCTGTTTCTAGTCTCAACATGTTTTCATGAGGCATAATATTTATCGTGTATAATAACTCCCGACAACAACCATTATCTATCATTGGCTGAGGGGCCAGTCATGTTGCTGCATACTGTGATATCAAGGTTTTATTGAACTGAAAGGAAGCATGTTTTCCTTGTGTTTTTGGTTCACAGGGAACAGTGTAGAGGGAAGGGGAGCAACAGCAACACAGATTAAATAAATTCAAACAGCATCTTTGACAGCATGTGTTTATTTAATGCTGATGTTCTTGACGGGACTGACGTTACCACACCATAGAAATGCCTGGTTACAGCTCTACGTATCCATACAGAATTAAAACATTTCTAACACTCATTGCCACAATGTACAGGGGTTGTATTAGCTTAACTAAAGGCTTTGATGCAAAAAGTGCAAAAATACTAAAGTCGTCTTCATAACCTTCCACAAACCCAATGTGTTTGGTTATTCTTGTAGTATCTCCTAGTATAAAAATCAATAAGGCAATATCTCCATGAAGGTAAAATTGGTCTCACTGATGTAAACATATGTATTTATTATAAAAACCTATTGAGAGTCAAAGGAACTTTGTGTACTGGATAAAACCATCAGATATGCAAATGTGAAATGTTACCATTAATAACAGTTCCATTTTTGCATCTTTAAATCTTCTCCAGTTCTTTTAGGAGCTCCCCAAAACTGGTCACGTACCACGAACACCTCTCCTTCACCTGCGGCCTGGTGACGTTCCCGCCAAATCCGATGAAAGCACTCTGAGGGCAGAGGGAAATAATAGTGTAATCACACTGCTGCTCCAATACGCTCGACTTGTTTCAAAAATACACATAAACAACATGCCAAAGATTTCTGTGTGCACACTTGAACAGCACTTACAGCAGGAGGGCAGGCCTCTAGATCAGTGGCTCCATCCCCGATCATCACCACAGTCTTGAAGCCGTATTGTTCCTTCAGCTGGCTGATGACCTTCCCCTTTCCACCGCTTTCAGCTGTGGGCTGACTCTCATCAAAACCAGCATACTCTCCTGTAAACACACGATGCACAAATGGAGGTTGACGTCCAAGAACAAGCGGACAAATAAAGACAAAGTCTGTATTTGATATTATTAGGTAGGAGAATCACACCTCGTCATTTCATTCATAGGGTGAGCACTGTTCAAGAAATACAATGGTCCACTGGAGTAAGGAGGGAGAAAAGTCATAAATATACCGTTGAAGTAGAACTTGAGCCTGTTTGCATGGACGTGATGCAGAGGAATGTTAAGCTGAGTGGCCACATGTTCGACAATGCAGCGGAACCCCCCTGAAATGAGGAACACCTTTATGTTGCGCTGGTGCAGATGGTCCACCAGCTCCCTGGAAGAAGACAAATGGATATTTAGCATCAATCAAACTGGACACATGCATGCATCTGTCACAGTGACAGCTAATTTCATTTAACGAGTGTGGATAAGTTGCAAGGTTATTCTATTCTTTTATTTTTGTGTTGCAGACAATTGGAATCCTCATTTAGACCATAGACTGCATGCACAGACAGATGGCATGACGACTCCCCAAAAATGAAACCAAAGTCTCGATCGCCGCCTGGTTGCTGCCAGTGCATTTTTCCTGTAAGTTTGGTTTGAATTAGTTATTTGATGCTATAAAAATGAGGTGAAACGTTGTCGATTCATGTAACGATACAGCGGAGCAATACCCGATAACTACTTCACAGACTCTGGCTCCAGAACACGTCATCGGCACAAGATGGCAGCGTTTGTATCTGGTACATTTCTGGCTGTGTTTGTGTCTAGAAGGAGGAAGTGGAAGTGCTTCTTGAATCTTTACAGGAAGTCTATGATTTTGGCCTCAACCTTAAAATGGCTGAGCAGTTTTTTTGAATAAACCATGCTTGCACACGTTTTCAAGTCAGTGCCAGTAATTGGGCAGCTTCAAATCAAGAACAATTGTTACAAGCTCACCTGATACCTGGAGTGAGCTGAGGTGGGTGGTCTGTTATCAGTTTGTTCACTTGCTCTCTGGAACATCGGATGATGGAGAGACGCTCAGTCAGGGCCGTTTTAAACGTCAATGAGCCGCCCATAGCTTTCCGAGTCCTGAAATGTGAACGTAACACAGGATGGCTTCACATCTAGAACCAGCCCAGTGATATCAAGTGAAGACAAGTAACATTAACAACATCTCTACACATACATCTCAGTGACTGCATCCCCAACACCGCAGAATTTGGCGAGTTCATCGATGCCCTCCTCTTTGATGACTGTGCTGTCCACATCGAAACACACAGCTTCTGCTCTCCTGAACAGTTCCTTCGTTTGCGAAAGTGACATCATCATGCTGGGAGGAAAAGAATAGTTTATGAAATGACCCACTCAGAAACAACAGCAGCAGTTCAACTGGATTTACAGCTTTCACTTTCTTAAGTTTTCATAATCATTTAACAGAGCAAAATAAAGCACAAATTATCAAAATATAGACAACATGTGAATCGTCCCACATTGCACATGAAATTTTACATCTACTTGGGTAAAGTTTCTTTTAAGTAACACTAAGTACTACGCAGTGTTACTTTAACTGATGTCTATTGTTCAACTGTACTCTGTGCTGCAGCACCCCTTATTACTACTGCCCCCTTCATCTCTGGCAGACATTTTCTTTTTAAATTTAAGCATAAAACATTACATTGATTTATCCTTCTGTCTATCATTAGTAGTATTATTTGAAGGTTTTTTTGTATTCATGTTTAGTAGGGCCAGATCCAGGAATCTTTTTTTCACTTTCTTTAACATTGCAAGACAAAGTTTTCTTTTATTTGAACAATTTTCTAATTTCAGATTGCTACCACTACTAGTTTTATTTTCCACACCTTTTTATTTCACCACTTTGATTGCTGATGCTACTACTACTTTAATTTTCCAGTCATATTTTCAAATCTGGGAAAAACAAATGAGACCTCACAAAAGTTTGTTCCCAAGTTTGGGGATAAAACTTTGAATGCATTCTGAATGATGTAATCACCTGAGGGATAATCTAACAGTCCTGCTCAGTGTCCCTGAAGCTGCAGAGGTGAGAAGGAGCTGTGGGACTGTGTTTTCCCAGGCTGCTGCTGCTGGAGGACTGTATTGTGTAACTAAAGTCCTGTGTGCAGTGGATGTCTTCGAGCCAGTGGAGCAGCAAACTCGTCCGTTGGGTGAAATACCGACACTGAGTGATCCTGGGATCAAACACGTGTCCCGGGCCCGGCGGTGTGTGACTAAATTGCGTTACATAAAGCTGCAGGCTGCATAAACAAACCATACAAGAGGGTTATGGACATCCCTTGTCCGTGTTGCATCACCCCGATGTGCATCGCGGTGCAGGGGACCCGGGCCGGCGGAGACCACACACGGTCCCCGTGAAGAGACGGTGGATCCCGGTGAATTAAAACCAACTGAATCTTTGTATAACATGAATCTAACGTCGCAGAAGAACTGTTTAAAGTTAGCGTGAACAAATGACCGTCACCAGCCTGGTGTCCTGTTCTGCTTCCTGACGCGTTTAAACACCGTGTCTCTCCCTGCGGAGCCTCGCGCTAACACACCGGACGGGTTCACGGTACATTACCCTCCGGTTCCCCGCTGTTACTTACCGGGAAGAGCAGAGTCGATGCGGCAGAGACAGCAGCTGCAGCAGCATTCACCGACACCTCGGCTCTCAGTGGACTCACCGAGCGCCGGCCAATCACAGAGCCGCTGCCGGAGGACCGCCCACTACCCGCTGCCACGGCTCCATGACAACAGGAACAGTCCATTCATTCATTCATCTTCAGAAGGTTTCATAAGTGTGACCCGCTGTCGACATCTGCCAATCACAGCTGAGCTGCTCCAGTGACGTCACTTCGCACCAGGAATTAAAATATTTATGGTCTGTCTGCCAAGTTTAAATTATGAGGGGGGGGTCCATTTAGTAAAAAATGTATTGTCTTGGGAGAAACCATAGAGGATAAACCCCCTTGGGATGTACCATCTCGATTTAGAGGGGTCCAAATGGTCTTATCTTTATTTGAGATCAGATATGATTATAAAATAACACTTTTAATATATTTGGTTCATTCCCTGCCTAAGGAGATTTGTCTTGCCAGTTACTTGTTGCTTAAAACATATTTTGAAGGGAGGCCTTTTAATTGAGTTTTGTGTTTAGACGTGTACTACAGATGTAAAGATTAGTATTGTTGTTGTTGTTATTATTAATAAACTGTAGCCTGTCAGACGATAACAGCTGAGTGATCGGTCCTTCAATGTGGTCCAGAACCACATTTGTGTTCACACTGCTAACAGAAAGCTTCCTGCACCCTTTTCAAATCTGGTTTTCACATCTGTCCCAAGTGATCCCATCACCACAGCACAGCTGTAAATACACATGTGGACACAACCAAGACACTTCAAGGACACATTTGAGATCAGCTCATGGAGACCACAACAGGAGTTGGTCCGGGACCATGTCTGTGACATGAGGCCACATTGTTTTGCTCTTGTGATCTGATCACCTGAGTGGGATATTAATAAATATGCTTCGGTCTTAGCAAGGCCCTTCTGCCAAAAGCCACACTCTTTCATACACAGTGTAAGCAAACCTTTTACTGTTGAATTGATTCATTTGAGCATTAGCTTTTATGCTATGCTTTATCATTATTTCTAAAATGTATATACATATTTTAGTATTATTATACATTTTTGTATTATTTTTGAATCTTAGAGTGTTTGATTTACACTATTTTGTAAAATAAGTGTAAATTAACAACTGCTGACAGCTATTAACAAATCATCTGTGATGCTGCAAATCACTTTAAATTCCTCAAATTCACCTTGATTGAACACAAGGGGGGAGGGTCTTTTAACAATATCAGTGAGTAATGAGACATTTTAAAAAAAAGACAATAATTAAAGACTTTGGAGGACTTCACAAATATAACTAGCGTGTGGTTCCTTCCAGCTGTTGACCAACAAATGTCAATATGACCATTAGCCATTATTTAATTTGTTTTTCTGCACATCATACACTTTAGAGATGACTGGATTTTAAAATGGATTATAGGGAACTGTGAAGATTCCTCAGTTTTACAACACTTGTGGGTAAAGTTATAATGTCTGTTGTGGGCAGGGCTGAGAGGATTGACCCCCCCTGGACCCCCAGCAGATCAACTCTGACATCAGGGTGAGATGGCAGGACTAGTACCTGACATGAAAAACAACAAGGACAGTAGACATACTGCAAATGTCTGGTTGTAATGAAGACACGTGATTAGAGCAAATAAAACAAGACTTGAAATCAAACCGATAGGAAAGGAGGGATCAAGAGTAGTGTAGTACTCCAGGACACATGGTGGCGGTAATGAAGCGAGAGTAGTTTACAAAATCCTATAAATCACTGGAAGAAATCGTCAAAGAAGAAATCTACCGTACACAGCCTCGAGGACCTGAGCTGGTCGAGTGGAGCTCAGACAAAATGTCTCTATACTTTCTCCTGTCTCGCTTTAAAATCTGGAGCCAAAGGGAAATGTGAGTATTTATGTCAGCACAATTTATTTCAGAGTAAATGTCAGCTTCTAGATTTCCACGTAAGATGATCTTAGCCTCTGATGTGAAAAGCACGTGGTCCTACACGTGTGTGTGAGTAGTAGTTTCAAGTTAATCTCAGTGAAAGAACGGACGGTTAATGTAAATCTAATAGTATGACGGGCTGTTACTACTTGTATTTACATGTTCTAGTCTCTAAACCAAGTAGTTTGTGTTATATCGAGATTAGCTCAGTTATAAAGCTATTGCTGATCATTCTCACGCCAGTGTTATTTATTTGTGCACCTCTGTTTTCTGATCAAATCACAGCATCACCCTGGAAAAGGTGTCATGACTCCATCTCCACAAACCCAGACCACGTGTCAGAGCAGCAGAAAGTCCCTGACTTGTCCCTGATCATACAGGAGGAGGAGCTCAGTGAAGTGAACAACATGCTAAAGGTGCATTTTGTTGCCAGGTCAGTAGTGCAATTAAAACAAAACGCTTTTTAAATGTTTCGTTAATGTGATGTAATGTTACTTTTTATTTTCCTAAGCTGCTCGTTGTCATTGATCTGCTGCTGTTCTCTATGTTGCAGCTGGTGCTTGTGAAGATGAGCCTCATCGAGCCCAGAGGAGAAACATGCAGAGGTTAGTAAATAGTAGTTGATGTCCTGTATTTGAATGCATGGCAGAATTCTGTTTTACTCTTGAAATAGTAAATGCAGTCAGACACCATGCTAAATGATTGTTTTCACACACTGACTCAGTAACAGGAGAAGTGCTCGTTCTGGGCCTCTTTCTTATCTCAGAGTGAATACAGTGTTACTAGTTTGAATGATATTGTTTATATATAATTATATACAACTGAATATTAATTTAATTGAGGAGACATGTAGTCACATTCATTCTGTTATTTTTGATCAGGTAATTTAGTTAAACAATAACCATTAGTCACATTTTTAAACCCTGTTATCATGTGTGTAAGAGATGAATTATCTCAGAAAAAGAATTACTCTCTTAAACTCTATTTTACCTTTTTTTTTTCTTCTAGCATGTGTCTAAATGTATATTTGTGGTGAAGTGCAGTGATACAAGCTCAGTCCTGCAGCTCGTCTCTGCACACTGCAGCTGCTGTGACCTCCAGCCTGTGAAGAACGGCCTGGCGATGGTACGTTTGCACACTTGACACTGACATGCAACATTGTTCATAGTCCTGTTGAAGCTAGAGATAAGGCATGGAAGAATTCTGTTCCAGCTGCTCTGTGGTGGACACAGTCAGACACCATGCAAAAGTATCATCTCATTCCTGCTAAATGACTGGATGTGTGCTGCCCCGTGCCTCATCTTACTCGACAAGAATGAGCACAGTGATGCACGAGGAAACTGAAGATGCTGCTCTGTTTGTTTCTGTTGGTTTTTTGATAAAAGTAACTTATCTCCCTGTTGTATCATTTTTCTCTTTGTGTTTTTCTCAATAGATCCATTGTTGAAATGCAGATCTTATACGTGCGCTCCCTGCCCATGGATGAGTTCTATCAGAGATGTTGTGGATGTGCATGTACAAATCTTTTATAATAAACTTGTAGCTGTATTCAGAATGGGTCTCTTGAATTGTGTTTAAAGTTGTTGGTTTAAGAGAATTAAAATGAAAAAGCATCACAAAAAATGTCAATGAATGACTTTTAAAGATTTTAAATTAAAAGCAAGTTTAATAAATAAATTCTTAGCATTTTAAGTGCTTTAATCTTTACAACTTCACTTGAAGCTGTTACCAGTATCGTACATCATGCACAACCATCACAAAGCCACACAGTATGCAGAAATGTAAGTCAGTGCCATTTCAAGTATGGAGATTATCTTTCATATTCCAGTTAAAATAAGTTTTACTCAAGTTTAGCTTCAACTGCTAAACCAAGGTTTCACAAACCTCCGCCAAGGCCCAACAGTTCCATTGAATTATCATTATCTGTGAATTATTCCCCCTAAAAAACTGTTAAATGTCAAAACAAGATTTTCAAGAAAGTGATGGAAAATTGCAGAATCTACCAATTTACATTGACCAGTGCTAAATTGAATGGGTTATTTCTTGGCCCATGCCCCATCATTGCAAGTTTCCATTCTGTAGTTTTTGAGTAATGCAGCTGATCAAACAAATTCCTGAAAATCATTTATAAAACCAGGATCAATCAATCAAAAGAGCATCGTCATTCAAAATGTGTCTGATAATTAACACGGAGAAGCTGTTGCCTCCATTTGTAATAAATATCTTCAGGATCATTTTAAGTAATGTACTTTAAAACACTTATTTAACAGCACATTTTTAAAGTCAGTTTTTCAACCTGGATGACAACAAGCAAACAGTTACACATCTTACTTGCAGAGCTACAGACATCATGTTTGCCACACTTGGCACGATTGTACTGCAGTACTGAAAAGTGCTTTTAAAGTTCATTGAATATACAGTCCACATTACTGACATACTTGTTTCACCTTGGTCTGGTAGAGGTCAGACACCAGATCATACAGAGTTCAGCTGCAGAGGATGCTCACCTGAGGAACAGGTGCCTGTTACCAGATGTGAATGGGCTCGTCTCCCTCTGCAGCTATCGACAGCAGGATGGCCTTGGGCGTGTTTTCGAACAGCGCTGCTCTGTTCTGAGCCTGGCCCTTCTTCACCCAGTGGCCGTAGATCTTGAAGGCGCAGGCGTCGATGAGCTTGCGGATGGGCTTGACGGCGTACGGGTCGCTCTTGATCACCTCCTTGGTGACAGGCTTGGCACGGCGGTAGTTGCAGTAGATTCTCATCGTGGCGAGCACAGTCATGCAGATGACCTGATGGAGAAAGGTCAGCAAGGGTCACTGGTTATTGGTGTTTGATCATAGACTGTATATAAAGTGTTTGATATGTTTGAACTGTGGGAAATCACGATCCCTGTGAATTTCATGAATTTAAACTGCTGGTTTTTCATGCTCATTAAAAATGTACATTGTATCACAAATGATCCCTCTCTGTCTCAGTACTTGAAAATAGAAATTTAGATGAAAATAAATTCAGCCAATAAACTGTAGAATCCATAAATAAAAACATAAATAAAACAAACAGTCAATAAATGGTGAAATAATTCAATAAAATATTAAAACACATACATGAAACACAATAATAATTATGGGAACTATGTCATTAACATTGGAAATTATACAAAGGGGTGCTGAAAAACATTAAGGCATTTTTCTTCAAATCTCTGTCAACTCACCTTGAAGCGTCTGTATGGGCTGAACTGTCTCACTTCATTCACCACATACTGTGAGAAGAACGAGTGGTTGAGAGCATCCATGGCTGTGAAACGCTGCTTTGGATCCACCACCAGCATCCGAGAGATCTGAGGGAACCACATGAAGAGTTTGAATAATTATCAAGAGAGTAAAACCTTTCTGAAACTTCAAACTTTACAACAAGATTTCTAAAATTATCAGATTCTTTTATTTTACGAAGCTTATTGAAGTTGTAGACGTGAGAAGAAATCCTACCAGATCTTTAACAGTGTCTGAGCGGTCTTCCCATTCAGGAGATGAGAAGTCGTAATCACCGGCCAAGATCATCCGCAGCATCAGTATCTGTTTCCTGTGCCAGAAGGGCGGAGAGCCTGCGAGCAGCGTGTACATGATCACACCTGAACTCCATCTGTAAACACAAACCAAGGAGGATTTAAACCATTAAATGTTCAAATGACTTTCTGTAGTGATTTTATTCTCTGAACAACGCTCACATGTCCACAGCTGTCTCATATCCTGCATGTCCTACGTCCATGGAGCACTCGATGATCTCAGGAGCGAGGTAACCAGGGGTCCCACACACCTCTGCAGTACACACACATCACAACAGAAATGCCTGCCGTCCAGGTCATGGTATCTTCAGAAGTTCTACAATAGTATGTTGGCACCTGGACTTACTTGCGTTTCAAGTCCAGTTGACTACGTACAACTTCTTAAGATCAGAGCAGAAACATGAATTTAATGTGAAATGATAATTCCAATCTTTTTATGAGCTGTACAATTATCTGTTAAAGGATTTCTACATGTGTTATACACGGAGGAAACTATTTCTTAGAGAGTAAACAGAGCAGTGACATCACTCAGCCAAACCGAATTTTACTCCAACAAATGTAAAACTATCTATTGGAAGATTAGTTGCTCAGGACATTGAGGAGACTCAGTGGAAAGGTCAGTGTGCTGTAAGCGGGACTCCAGCAAACAGATCAGAGTGTCCTGTTGCCTCTTAACCTTTGTGAGAGCAGCTCTGAGAGAGGATTCTCCTCTGACCACCAGCAGCAGCTGCTGAACTGAAAAGTGCACCGAGCGACATAAATATAGGACATTTATTGGAGCCGGACATTTAGGGACCCTCCACTGGAAGGGACTTCTGCTGCATTCAAATCCTAAATATCAGTCCCCTTAACCGGACAGGTTTGAGTGAAAGTAATAAGAAATTCCTGGAAAGTATCCTCCCTGACTCATGCATCCTACCAACAAGTTTCATTATAATCCATTCAGCAGTTTTTGCATAATCTGTCTTGCAAACACACACAACATCTCACTGACCTTTGAGCTTTTGATTCGGTTGAATTTGCACGGCGAAGCCAAAGTCAGTGAGCTTGATGTTCATGTCGTCGTCTAGAAGGATGTTCTCAGGCTTCAGGTCCCGGTGCACGATGTTCTGGGCGTGGAGGAACTGGACCACCTCCAGCAGAGCTCGCATGATGTTCCTTAAAACCAACACAACACAACTCAGATAATGCCTCACAGAGATGAGGATGATTCTTTCATTTCAGTGACACGCTCACTGACCTGGTTTCCTTCTCGCTCAGAGTAACTTTCTCTGTGAGGTAGTCAAAAAGTTCACCCCTCTTCATCCTGGAGGACAGAAACTGTTTTGAACAGCTGATAATTCATAGTTTAATATTGAGTCCACTTGAGATGTGACACTTACAGGTCAAAAACCAAGAAGAAGAAGGCGTTAGACACGTAGCAGTCTTTAAGCTGTACTGGAGAAAGAACAGAGACATTTGAGGCACATTCACTTTTTAACTTTATCAAGTCAGAGAGGACGCTGTTGATCAGCAGGTTAGACGGACAAAGGCCAAAAAAAATCTGTCTTTGCTTTGTGTAAGCAATAATAAGACTCGTGTTAGGCAACAGTCCATTTCCAAAATAAAATTTTGCTGATGCCTACAGTTTAAATTCATGTTTGTGTGTGTGTGTGTGTTGGGGGGGGGGGGGGGGGGGATGTGACTGTGCTCACTGATGTTGTCCTTTCCGCAGACTTGCTTCAGGATGTCGATCTCCTTCACCGTCGCCTCCCTGATCTCCTCAATCTCCTGCGGGGTCGTCTTGTCTGAGGGGGTGATGTCTATGATCTTCACCGCGTACTCCTGAGATGTCCGCTTGTCGATGCAGAGACGCACCACGCTGCTCACCCCCCTGAGGAGGAGGAGGAGGAAAAACACATCCAGTTCTCTCTTTCTACAGCTCTGCCACATCTGTTTGGACAGCTGGACTCAGGAGGAAACATGGTTGGGGGAATGAAATCTATGAGTGTGTGACTAGAATACACTGTTGGGCCTTGGTGGAGGTCTGCGCTCCACTAAGTGCCATTCTAATTTAAATCCTGTTGAAAACGCTGCTTTTTTGGTGACAAAATCTAAAACCAGTGTTTTTACATACTCACACTAAAGAAATACAAAGTTTTATGACCTTCAGACTAAGTATAGACAGTGAAGAAATGTGTCCTTCAGTGTAACAGACAAGGTTTTCATACACACCACTCTGGAAAAACAGCTAAACTTTATATCAGTTCACCTCGAATCTGAGCACCAGACCATGAGAGAAACACGAGGGACTGCAGAACGCTGCAGCCACTGACTCTGGATCAGGAGGAAAGACCCCGAAATGTTAGGGACACCCAGGTTTGATCAGCCTGTGGTAGGTCTGCCTGAACAGAGGGTTTCTTGTGAAACAACTGATAACGCTGAGGAACACGACTGATGACACGTCTCTAACATCCACTGGTGGTTGCTAATATCAGCACCTTATCAATGTGGGAGACCTTTAAACTTACAAGGGATGCATGTCCTATACATTTTAATAATATCATTGTGATTGTCCATCTGATCTCATGTATCTACATCTAGACTTCAGGACAGAGACTTGAAGGTGACCCATGTTATGAAACTATAACTAATATCTTGTGTTTGAGAAGCTGATGGTCTCATCTGGTGACCTTGTGGCCTGCATGTGAGACGGTGAGTAACTTAACCTAACATGTTGGCACAGTCCCAGGCTGCTCTCCAATCTAAACCCTTTAAAAAACATGTTCTGAGTTAATGAATGCAGCTTCCATGAAGTGTTTGGTTTATGTAACAGCACCACCGTCTGACGGATGGTGGGGAATGACAATGAGCAGGCTCTGCACAGAGGACGTCTCTCAGGGACTTCTGGGAAACTCCAGGGAAACCATTCAGCCATTCTTTTTCTTTTTTACTGCCCAGACCAAGAGCGATGGTCAAAATGAACAAATAAACCTCACTGGTTGTGACAAATTCAAATCAAGTGTCTTTCCTTCATTAGAAACAAAAAAATGTAAATTAAAACAAAAGTTATTAAGTTGTTTACACAGATGATTGTATTTTTTGTGAGGTCCTGACCTCCATATTCAGACTATATTATTTTATACATGAGCTTTATGATCGTACCTTCCCAGAATCTCCTTGGTCTCATACTTGTCGTAGAACTCCTGAGCTCCGACGCAGTCAGGGATCTCCTCGTCTTTGGTCATGATGGAGGGATGTCAACTTCACCACCTCAGATAGAACAGTGTTCTCCTCTCACAGCTCAACACCAGGCTGCTGGAAGAAAACACATGTTCAACATGTTCAACAGGGCGACACCCACTGACACCACACTTACTCACTAACTTATCAGAGCTGGAGGTAAAGTCACACGTCTGAAGAAGATATTTGGAAACAATGGACAAAGTATTTGTGTGAAATAAGTTGTTAGACAAACACTTACTGGCTGCTAATTTTAGTTTTTGCTCTTCAACTGTATAGAACATGTTTCTCTTATTATCTTTTCATATTTCATGAAGCAAACAACTTATTGAAAAATTGAGGAAAAAATGCAGACTAATCAAAAAACAGAAATAATTCAACATTGCATCACTGGGTAGTTATTTATACTTTTGTGCAGATAAATTTGAAACAGTACATAAAGTCCAATAAATCATATGATTTGAATGTTGTCACGTTATCTTAATATTTTAAAATTATGTAGACTACTAAATAATGTTGTGACTTCACAGAAAAATACTTATTAAGCTCTGTTATTCAAGAAGAATTACATTTTACTATATAATAACAATATAAAAATAACAATAATAATAACATTAATAATAATTTTCCTTTGAACCACATCAGATGCCAGAGCTCTGATCTAAATATATATAGTCTAATTTTCCATTTATAAAAATAAGAAAACCAATCCATCAGACTAGATACAAATAAATATAAGATATATGGATTTCATTTAACTTATTTATTTCCTGCACATTTCACCTTGTTCTTATAATAAATAAAGCAGAAACAACGCATGCATTATAAGGGTCATTTCAATGGATTTTGATGACCTATATAACGTCAGCTCACAAACAGTTTGGGATTTTGACCACAAGTATAATAATCGTCCTGAACTTCAGATCATGTCCAGAGACAGATTTCAGTGTGGCCTATTAAAGCAAAGTGCCACCATGTGTGAACTAGATCTCTCTCCTCCTCTCTCACCGTCTGACCTTTAACCAGCTCCGATAAACCACTGCATTAAAAAAAACACACAAAAAACAAGTTGGATCACTCACCGTATCAGTACCGATCACTTCCTAGTGTAAAGATAATCCATAATCAATACTGGGTCTGTAGAGGAGGGGACGCACACAGAGGTGCAGTGAGTCTCTGGTGCTCCTGCAGCTTTGTGGGGTCGCTCCTCTCTCTGCTGAGGGTGAGCTTTAATGTCAGATGCCAAAAATAAGTTGTTGCTTCCTCTGCAGCAGCAGCAGCAGCCACACACTAACAACGTGTGTACAGACAAAAACAAGATCAGACCTACACTATAAAACATTACTACAGATACAGCGATCAGGTAGTGGGTCTGACAGGCTGGAGTGACATGACAGCTGCTGGACAGACCTCTGCTTTTAACACTACAACTCTAATTAAAGAAACCATCGGTAAAAATAGAAACGTTTCTTGGAAAGTCCAGTGTTATAATGCAGCTTCCAGACAGGCACTGAGAGAGGTTGTTTTTTCTTACCTGAACCATTTTAAAATCAATGACACCGAGTTCAAGATACTGTTTAACATAAGGAGCAGGTGCAGCTGTGTAGATAAATGACAGACATGAAACTAAAATAAATGTAATTAAACATAGATTAAAAAATGTCAGTCAAAAGTCAGAACCAGAAATACTGCACCCTGGCTGTATGCTTCCACCAACAAGCAGTTGGAGTCTCCATAATGATCTTTCCAGACTCATAAGGTCACTGTGACCTTTGACCTCTGGGATCTTTTTGGTTCATCTCTGTGTCCTAGTCACAACTGGGAAAAGTCAGAAATTCCCTACAGGCAGATTTAATGTATCATGTTCGAGTCCAACCTGTCAGTTGCAAATTTGAAGAAATTCCTTCATGGCGTTCGTCAGATGTCGCATTAATGAGATGGACAGACCTGAGAACATAATGCCTCTGATCACTGGCTGACTCGTAGTGGAGCCTAATTGGAAGAACGTTTTAAGTTAGACATTTTTGGGGGTGGGGGGAGCCATTCATGAACATCCAGAAACAGAGCTTCAGTGTAAAAGCATCGTGAAATAAATGAGCGGTAGTTTGTTAAATCACAAAAATACAATATTGGTATCAATACCAAAATTCTGTCTCAATGAGTCAGTGGATAGAAATTTAACATTGTTCAATTGTTGGTGGACTTGGAATTTGTATCTTGCGATTAGTTTTTATTGGATAGAATGTTTGGTACAAAATAGAACCTAAATCCGTGAAAGACACCATCACACAACACAGAGCATTCATGGTCCAAGTGCTTTATTACAGTGGACATCTACTGAGAAGATGTGAATTCACAAGTCATCTACGAGAATGCAGTTCACCTTATAATATTTATACTGGAGGAATTTTAAATTAAAAGCACTGAAGCTGCAGAAAAACGAATGAAATCAACTCGAAACGCTGCAACAAAAAAAACATATGAACATTATTGATACGACTGCGGTTACAAGGTCTCCTGAGAAACAAACACAATGTTGTCTGATAATCAAACGTCTAAATAAAGCATGTTTATTGAACTCATGTGCATCACACCAGTAACTATCCAGTATGGGTATTTATTACAGTTTGTGCTGCGTTTCTTTCTCCAGGTATTAGTCTCAGCTTCATGACAAACCTGTGGACAAAAGACAAGTTTTATTAGCATACTGATTATCAGAATTCTTTAGTATTATAATCAGGGATTTGGTTTATTTGACCTCTTTGAACTCTGCAAAAGAATAAGTCCACCGGTGTCTGTTTTGGTATTTTTATTATTAATTTTAATTTCTTGGAGGATCTTCAAATACTTCATATCACTCAACTCTGTACAACCTAAGTAGAAAGGTTATGCAAGTCAACAAACAATGAAGTACCTTATACAAACATTTGAAGTTATTTAGACTATGTATGTTTTTGTATGTTATGCTGCCATCCTCAGGCGCCACTTCATGTTATCAACATGTTTTTCACTGCACATAACAAAATGTATGTGAACTTAGGAGAAAGCTTCTGCTGCAAAAAGAAGGAATGCTACGACTATTATGGTTTTTCATTTAAAATGATTTGAACAGAATCATGCAAACAACGATCTCCCGCTGCCACAGGAGGTCCAGTTTCAAAGGGTTCAAAATAATACAATACAAGAAATAAAGGTTATATAAAGCATTCAGAAGACCTTCAAAACTACTGCTCCTCCCACTGGGTGATATAACACATTACAACACGACTCTGGTGGCCTTGATGACAAGAGCTTAGGTTTTGCCTTTTTTATTTGTCAGTATTAAATCAGATATAAAAAGTAAAGTCAACAGTAAGATCAAAACTACAGAGACACTGTGTTGATGTGATATTAAATCAAGGATGAAGCCGATATTGTGTTGAAACATTATGATATAATTACACTTTCTATCAATGAGATGAATTCTTCAGGTATTCGAATAGAAGTAATTCCACACTTCACTCACCATTGGAGAACTTGCACTGTTTGAGCACTTCACTGAAGCCCTCGCACAGTTTGAAGTCACTTTGGTTCTGGGCGCAATCGATGAACTGTTTTAGTTCGTATGAGCAGGCCTGCTGCTCCTGCTGAGGAGGCTGCTGCTGCTGCTGGTACATGTACTGTGGCTGCTGCTGGTACTGTGGCTGCTGCTGGTACTGCGGCTGCTGCTGGTACGGCTCCTGAAAGACACGAGGCAGATGATGCAATTATACATGCATACGGTACATATGGTATTTAAGACCAAAACATTAATTGAAACAAAGTGACGATTATAACATCTGGTTAACTCCTCGCAATTTTAGTTAACGAATAATATTTTTTCCTCCAAAACAAGTTGCGTCTGTTTGTCTGAACATGCATCTTTTCCTCTGTAACCAAATATCTGTAGATAAAAACACCAACAAATACCAGGCTATGAAAAGACTATTGCAGGTAAGAACTCAATCACTAATTAAGAAGCACCAACTGCTGATAGAAACTGAAAACAAGATCACCGAGTTATGGTGTGAGGTTACAAATATCATTATTGTTTAATAAAGACATACACAGTGTTACGTGTACTTGCATGTTCTGATCTGTTGATTACATCAAATGTGATGTTTGTTTCATCAACACTTTGACTCACACACACACTATCTTTGGGACCTGTGACCTACCTACCGAGCTACAGACACACTAATCTGCCTTGATGGTAATCCAGCACTACGATCACAGTTTATTTACCTGGTATGTAACGTCAGGCTTGGCAGGCTCTGATTGTCCTCCACCGAAGCCTCCACTGAGGGCGTGGCCGATGGTGTGTCCCACTGCAGAGCCCACTGCCACACCCGCGGCTGTAGTTGCCATCTGGGCAAACATACCCGGCTGCCTGGGTGCTGCTGGAGCGCCCACAGCAGAGGGAGGGGCCTGCATCGGAACTGGAGCATGGGAGGGAGGAGGCGCAGCCCTGGCCATGGGTGGTGGTGATGGTGCCCGTCTGCGAAGAGAAAATATATTCAGAGGTTCGGTCCAATTGCAATCAACAACTGGAAACTATATCGTTTACTGACACAATCTTATATAATGACTTTGAGTTCTCATTTGTTTTTCTTACTCAAATCTCAGGCTCTGTTCAGACCTGGTATTAACATCCACCCTGGGAGATCTGATCAGTGGACAGTGCTAAGTTCAACTGTTCAGACCCGGCACTAAAATGCATCCTGAGTGTTTCTCCTATCACCACTTGTGATATAATAATTTACGTTCGCAAAGACAAACAGATGTGTCAGATGTGAATGTTAGTGTGTGAAGACAGAATTATTTCATAATTTAAAAAGTATTTATCATTATCTGGTGGTCAGCATTGATACCCAAAAGTGAAAAAATACTTGAAACTGTAGCAGGTCAGTGGCGTCATGTGAGCGGATTTGTGGGGATCACAACTCAGGACACAAATTTGGCAGCATTCAGACCTGAACTTAGGGCTGACCACGTGTGACTGGATCTCTCAGGATGGGTGTTAATACCAGGTCACAGCCTCCGGTGCATGCTAACATCATTGTTCGATTAAATGTTGTACTTTTGAATAGACAAATGATTTAAAATACTTTAAGAGTAACAATAAAAGAAATGATGATGTGATAAAAGTAGAAAACATCATCAGATCAGAGTGAAAACTCCAGCAGCAGTGGCACATGGGGTCAGTTAAGGTCACTGTCATGAGACCTGCTGCTGTTTGTTTGGTATAAATCATGTTAAAGTCGATGGACACGAGGATGTTGAGACATGTGACAGAAAGGTTCGAGGTTCGATGCTCATATCAGAAGGTCCCATACGTTCAGAAACATTTGATTCAACTTAAGATCACATTTAAGAGACAAATACCACACGTTTGATTATTTGTACTTGTTGAAGAAAATCCAAAGTGCTATCTAGGGGTTTGAATTAAGTTGTGGGTTTGTGGGAAACACATTTAGCAAAGAGTAGTTTAATCTCACAACAAACTGTTGAAGCGCGTTTGATGCGACACAACAGAAAAATGGCGAAAACACGTGACCTTCAATTTCTGTACTCTGCTTGAAATTGAACGCAAATTTCCGGACGTGCAGATATAAAACTATCCACGGCTGTGAGTTTGTTGTGTCTCCAGCAAGCTAACATACGCTGCTGCGACGTAGCTAAAACCGCTAGCATGTTTTCTAAACCAGCCGCACGGTCGTTACAACAACTTTAAGCCCACACATGTGATTCAATTCGGGGTGCTACCTGGCTGGAGGGGCCATCCTGGATGTCCTGCTTCTGCTTCCTCTCGGCATCGTCGTAATTGTCGGTACAAGTGTTGGTTTTCAGGAGAATTCAAACAGACGCGTCTCTCAGGAGCTGTCAGGCTAATCGACCTTTGCGTAGTCGGGAACTTTCCTTGTGTTACATCAGTTGTCTTCCGGGTAACTTCCTCGTATGACGGAACCAATGGAGCCACTAGTTTCATCTTGTTCTCTGGAGTTTTACGGCAGCGTGCACCCCACAGTGTTGCACTACTGCCACCCTCAGGCGTTATTCTAATTTGTTACCTCATTATTTTGAATCCCCATGTCCATTCCACTCACTAAAATAATAATAATAAAAAATCATTTTGACCTTTAATCTGTTAAAATCATAATTAACATTGTTTTAAATATACAACGTTAACAGCTGCAGAAGAACTGTTCTTCATGCACAGGTTTGGATCTGGAAGAAAGTGAAAAAATTCCTGGATTCACAAAAAAAAAAAAATGGAATGGTTCATCCTTGGATTTCATTTAAATTGATTGAGCTGCTTTTGCATAATGCTGCTAACAAACAAATAATCAACCAAACAGAAACAGTCAAAAACATAACCTCCTTAGCAGAGGTAATAGCAAAATTACTATAAACTTGTGTTTCATAGGTTTAGGTATCCAGAATAAAATAAACCTAAAAATATAAAAGGGCAAAGCCAAGGTGTAAAAGAACATCACATATTATAACGTCAATGTTTTATTCTTTTATAAACAGAACAAAAATATCAGTTCACATACCAGCACATTACAGCAATTACAAGCTCTTTAATAAATGTACATGTCAGGTATGTTTATGTGGTATTACTCAAAATTATACCCACATTTAGAACTACAAAATTAAATCCCATGTGGCGATCCAAGACCACATTTTATTTGAAGTATTTAAATAAAGGAAAATGATCACTTATTCCTTAATTTGAACAGTAAAACTAAAAAGATAGATATGTTACTGTTTTTTCCCTTTCTTCTTATCTGGAAATTTACGCCGTTGATGGTGTCCACCTCCCCGCCCCCCTTTCGCGCTTCGCCCTCCCCACGCTGGCATAGGCGGCTCAATTTCCCCCGGTCGTCCTCCTCTGTCGGGTACACTGCCCATCCGTGTCTAGGGAGACCAAAGAAATATTAGAAACCATCATTCCGAGCTGAAAACACCTTCAGGCAGACTCACTGATGATGGTGTATACGTGTTTACAGTTGTACCTTGTACACGGCAGTGCTTCTTCCAGCCTTGATCGGCTCAATGTAGGACTGATCCTCTCTGGCAGCAAGCAGAAGAGACAGAGACACTCGGGAGGAGTGGGTGAGGGACGAAAGAGGAGGCACTGAGGCAAGCGCTTCTCTGCGCTCCTGTAAATAAAGAACTGATTGAACTGGGCTGTCTGATTTTATCATGACTCACAGAAATGCATCGTGTCCTCAGATTTTGACCAATAACAATAAAGAGAACATAACAAGAAGCTGAGAAGTCGTCAGCAGTAACTTTGTGTTGAAATACTGGGAGAAATTCAAACTGCTCCTATACTCAAAGGACACTCAGAGAAAGCATACCTCCACCAAGCCTAACCTTATCTCGCCATGTTAGAGAAAAGGAAAAACTATTCTTGGATCCGCCCCTTAATCTGAATTCGCAACAACATGTATTGGGTTCTTCTCTGAACCGTATCACAACCGTCCACGAAGTTTCGTGGGAATCCATCCAGTAGTTTTAATCCTGCTAACTAACAAACACACAAATGCAGATGAATACGTAACCTCCTTGCTGGAGGTGATTATACAAAGTTTGAAATGAGTTATTAACACACTTTTTTCTCTATGGACCAGACATTTAACATTCCTACCTTTTGTTTTTCTCCCCATGCAAATGACTCGAGTGTGACCTGAAAGCGTTTGATCATCATCTCCCACCGACACTGATAGTCCTTTGACATGTGTTGGTTGATCTTTTTAACTTGGACCTGAGAGACAGAAGAGAAAATAAGGTTGAGATGCTGATTTGAGGATTAAATATGAAACTGATGAACAGAAAACATACCCACTGCACTGAGCTGAGGTCCGTGTTAAGCAGAGGGTCCATCATGTCTCCACATGGTAGACGAGCGAGCCTGGACTCCACCTGCATAAAAATGCCATCAAATTAAGCTTTTACTAGTGTGATCATGACTTACACAAAACTCATTCTCTCTTTTATCAGCCTTACTTCACTCAACACATCCTCAAATTGGGAAGAGGTGTTCATGTTAAGTGCATGCATCACTAATATCCACTCCGCCTGCATCTCAGCCTTCCTCCTTTCTTTTTCAGAATAATCTTCTTCTTCTTCATCTTCGTCTTCATGGCTGTGATCTTCAACTCGCTGCTCTTTTTCAGACTCATCTCCTGTTGTCTTCTCCTCAGGATGTAATTCCTTACGCTTGATCAAGTGAGCTGCTTGCAGTTCTGATACAAGGAATTCTGAAGGATGAAGCAATATTACACCCTTTATTTAAAAGGGATGTAGAGTACATGTATAGATCCATAGGCACTAATATCATCTGTTATTAGCATCAACAAAGAAATCTACAGCGGAAACAACTGGACGCGTCTTATTTTGATCATTTCTCACCAGTGACTTTGTTGAGGACGGTTGGCTCCAGCACCTCTGACGTCAGCACAGTGAGAGGAGAGAACATGTCCGATAGTAAAGTTCTCAGCTCGCCCACCAGAAAGACGTCGCCCATTCCAACTGAGTCTAAAAAAAAAAGAATTGCAAAAGCTCACTAATTTATGCACCACAAATATAATTACTTGGACGTTGGGCAGTTGGTATGAAAAAAGCAATCTGAATATGTTCTCTTCATCTTAATTTAATCAACTGACTGATCGATTAATGGTGAAAACAATAATCTGATAATTGATACTTGCAATTCTAATTAAAAACATACAGCAAGAAAAGTATCTGGAAAAAACCCACAATAAATAAAATATAAGAAAAATGCAACAGAAATAAAAGGGTATATAAAATATTAAAACCTTATTAACAACCCAGACTTGTAGACACAGTTGTAACAGATCTCAGGGGAGCTGTCAGCTTGATTCAGAGAAAAGGAGAATATAAAATAATTGATCATTTTAATTACTTTTTAAGGACTTTGATGGTCTTTTTGTGTTCCATCCTCTTAGACGTACTTAATACTAAACACCCTCACTAGATGATGATTTTATTCTCCAGTAAAGCTACCACCTGTTGATCAGTGTGCAGCCCCCCCACTCAGCAGGCAGGGCTCTATTATCAAGTCTGGCTCTGGGTCTCACCCCCAGACCAACCCCTCGGGGCCCCAGGCTTTACTCCACAGCAGTGTCACGTTGCTTTTTTAATATTAAAAGTTTTTAATGTTCTGTTTCGTTTTGAGAAATGTACTTATGTAACTGTCATTTGAAATTAAAAACATGTTGACACTTCTTACGCTTCGTTGGTGCAAGATTATTTATGAGATAATGTTTGAGGGTCCCCAACTGGGACTTTTTGCTCGGGGCCCCAGTGGACTGTAGAATCGCCTCTGCTCACCCCTCAGCTCCGGACAGATCCTCCTCAGCTCCGCGGACAACCAGCTGAGCAGCGGGCACGGGAGCTCGTCACACCCACACCGAGCCAGGCAGCAGCTGCCCGGGTACCTGAGCAGGAAGTAGAGGCGACAGGTGAGAGACGGGTGAGAGACGCTGCTACAGTCACAGTGATGACGTAACTTACCCCAAAGCTCTGAGGGCGGAAACTGTCCCTCTGCTTCTCTCCATCGTGTCTGTGAGCGACACGTTGACACCCGCAGCTGCAGATCAGCGCCACAGACAACTACTGACAGTTCAGACGTGTTTACTGACTGCACTTCCTCTGTGCTGCTTTTTACAGTGTTTGAGGACGGGACGCACATTGCCACCCGCAGGCCGGAGTGTGCACTGCATGGTGCGGTGAAACATACATAAAAAATGTGAAACCACTTGAAATCAAGAATAAAAGCGTAATATTATATTAAAAAACTAAAATACTTTGAAAGAAAAATTGAAACCTGAAAATAAAAGTGGGATTTATAAAATAATTTTGGCACAACATTTAACAAAAATGATGAATTAAAAAATAATAACAAAACATATATGGTAAAACATCTGCTACAAGATCATATTATTCATAACATAGATTGCCAGCCGTTTACATAATATTAAAATTCAATTCTAAAATAAATCAACAAATACACAAAAAACAACTGTAATATTTTGAATATTTTTTCATGAATGTTACTTTATTTTTAGAAGCTGTAAACTGAAGCTCATAGCAAGTGTGTGATATAATCTGTAATTCTACTTCCCTCTGCCCCCCCTCCCTAAACACCTGGACAAAATTGGCGGACCCTCTCCCCCCTAACCTTTATAAAACTACTTTACAATAACCACTCTACCTTAAGAGTCATCATTGTTTACAAGATTTTTCTCACATTCCTCAAATGAAACTGTACTTGAGAGGAAACAGTCAGTCCAGTTGTGATGTGTCACATATTTTTGATCCACTAGAAGGCGCTAAAGCTCTGGGATGAGGTATTTTAATAAGATAAAATCAAGTAACACACACATGAAAGGTGGAAACAGAAAGTGCACTCAACTCTTAAGTTTCATGTTGAGGATACCTAACTTGTCTATTATAATAATAATAAGCTATGATGTAACTTCCTGATATCTCCCAGACATACAGTCTCTGTTCACCTCAGGTTAGTCAGCCTGATCAAAGCCAGTGGCCAAACATAAGCTACTCTACTAATGGCTTTTTAATTCCTCCTCTACAGAAACTAGTTTGTTTGCTTTTTGTATCAAAATGTATCAACCTAGGACCAAAGAGCAGCTTTTTTTCCCTTTTTCTGTCCAAAAAATAACTTGGGAGAAAAGCTAATTATAGTTGCAGAGGACTTCACCTTGGCTCTGCCTTCGTCTTCTCCTCATCTTTATTATAATGACTTCACCTAACATTTATATGCCTGAGCCTGGTTTGTCCCACTCAGCACTCTCACGGGTCTTGCTGATGCAGCTCACACACACACATACACACACACACACCCATACACAGTGTTATATGGAGTGTTGTTGTGAGGCAGCTCTTGATTTAAAACATCGATCAGGCTCTTATGGCTGCTGGTTCTG